AGGTGGCGATTGCCTCTGGCATGCAGCTCTGGGCTTAGCGTACGCTAAGGCCAGCGCTCGGCCTGGGCGTCCTCTCCGTAAAGGCTGCTCAGCACCAGCGGGGAAATGGAGTGCTGCCCCCAGGCTGCACAGCCGACCCAAACTGGTCAAAGGACTATTCTGCACCATCTGACGTGGTGCTCGGTGGTAAAAGCTGCGGGGAAGGAGGAGGAAGGGGAGACATCTGTGGCTATAGCATTTGTTTTCCACTTCCCAAGCCACCGCCGGGCATGCTGAAAGCCCGGCTCTCTGGGAAGCAGCTGGACACCTGCCTGCCGATGGGAAGCGATGAATCAATTCCATTTTCACTCTGCTTGGGCACACAGCTTTTGCTTTCCCTATTAAAATGTCATCACCTCCACCCACAAGTCTCCTCACCATCCTTCCGTCTTCTCAGCATCCCGCGGGAGCAGGGAGCGAGCGCTCAGCTGGATTTGCCAGGGTCAGCACACAGCAGGGAATAAGTCCCTTGCTGCCGTCAGCTGAACAGGTTGCCTAAGCCTCAGCAGACTGCCCGGTTTTGAACACTCATGGCTCAAAATTGGTTGGTGTATGGCAGGGTTCTTGCTTTTCTTTTTAACATAATCTCTGTTAAATTAACTGGTTTTTTCAACTGTATCAAACTCATGTAATTTTAGTTTCCAGTTTTTCTATTTAGCCACTAGGAAACATGCTTATTTTTCTCATGCACATCTAATGAATCCCCTTTCATGTTGCTGTATAGCATTTAATTATGATTGCTTTCATTTCCCGAGAGATAGTTGCTTCAATTATTGCAAAAACTAGGAGTAATGAAGGTGGTACAGGCAAACAAAACATAATAATTTCTGTCTTTCAGGTATTTGGGTTTGTAGTCTTAATGACTTTAATTTTGCCTATTTTAGGTAGTTAGGTAAAGGCTAATTATAATACAAAGACTTTATATATGTGACTTCATATATGTAACTCTATATAAAATCTTTCAAATATTGGTGTCATAAAAGGCTTGTGACTTTTTTAAGTCAGACTTTTTAAGAAGTCATTTTAATAGATGGTTTTAAAAAAAGAAGTCTTGGCTTGGTTGACATTTCAACACAACAAATATGCATGAGTATTGCAAGCAGAGTAGTAGCGTAGATAGTTAGGAAGAAAAATCTATAAAGTATGTGCTGCAGTTCCATGAAATCATTATGTTTTCCTCTCAAAAGAAACTTTATTCAGCTCTAAGTTAAGGGGAAGGGATAGTGTTTTGATTTTATCTACAACATGACATAAATTCAGGCTTCCAGCACTAAATACTCATTTTCTGAGGGGGGAAAAGAAAGGTGATTACTGTCATGTATTGTCCAATATATTACAAATCCAAGTAGAGAAATTACATTAGAAACAGATATTACGATCCTGAAAATTTTCTCCGTTTTTTTCCCCTCAGGTTGCATTGTGGTTTTTTGTTGTTTTTTTAAAGACAGACATTGGCTGGGAGTTTGGGGGGGCGTGTGTGTATGAAGATGGTTGTTTTTTTCCCCAAACTGGAATAGATTTTGGTCTTTGCATCAGTAAGTACTTAGATTCAAACATTAGGCACTGTGGAGCACCAAGTGTAAGTTTGCAGCTTAAGCGCTGTTTAGAACTGAGGATGTCACATGGATCTCTGAAGTAAGTCATGGGAGGTTTGGCAATCACCTGTTGCAAAAATGGCACAGGCAGAGTTCTTGAGAATGAAGGTGGGGGAGTTCTGTAATAGAATTACAGCTACCTCCCATAATAATATTTTCTGGTACCTAAAATACTGTTATTTCCAATTTTCATGTTAGCTGGACTCCAAAGTAATGAATCCCTAGTAGCTGTAAAGCTTAGGCTTGTTTTGTTTCCCTTCTCCATTTGAAAAGGTATGTGTTTATTGATGGCAGGTGCTGTGCATGGTTAAGGGCATAGTTTTCGAATTGCCGTCACAGCTTAAAGGCTGCCTTTGCTTCCTTCTTCCTACACACACCCATCAACTTTATGTGCTTGGAAATGCTTCATCAAGGCTGTGGAGCTAGGTGTGATGCCCCAAGGATGAATGCTGTGAGAGGAGAGAACATACAGACGGAGAGCTCGGGGGTACAATCGACTTGGTATTTCATGAAGCCTTTGAGTTGTGGTCTGTGATTTCAGTATACCTATGAACAGACTCTGTGAAAGACTTATTGTCAAATAAGCGCTATGGGACAGTAAGAAGAGAGCACTACGGCAGGTTTCTATGCTGTAGCGTTAATAGATAGGAGTAGAAGAAAGCTATCTTGCCACCGGGTATATAGGAAAACTATAATATCTACTGTGTTCAGGAAGTCATATTGAATAACTCAGCCCAGTTCTCTTTTCTTCTGCTGGCTTGGAATTTGTCAAATTTCTGCTTTATTTTATGTTCTTGAGCGACGGGAGAAAGAAAATCAGGATATTGCCCCACTGTTGATCTGGGATTACAACAGGAAGGTGGAGTAGAGACTGATGCTAGTCCTTTTCCTGCCATCCCTGTTCTGTTCCAGCAGTTCCATGGTTTTTCTGCTGCAGTGAGATGACAAAGCTGCTTTCTTTAAGGCAACAGGGAGCTCTTTCCTTTGTGCTCATCTGTTTTGACGAGCTACCTGAATTTTCTGAGGAATGCGATAAATTATAGGGTGAATTTATTTATTTTTAATAATCTGAAGCCCTCTTCAGTAGGAGAGAGGCATTTCTCTTTTCAGATGGCTCTAACTTCACTGAATTTGAGTTGCCTATTACAAAAATGCATTAGAACCTGTCAAAAAGAAGAAAAATTCTTTCGTGGAAAATACTGTTTTATTGTAGGGATTACTGTTAGCTCCCAGTATAATTAATTAGTTCCTCTGCTCTCCTGAAAACCACACAGGCAGTTTTAAAATTGCCAATGTTTTGAAGAATTTTAAATACCAAAGTTGAAAATTAGTGAAGAAGTTGGAAGCTGGCAAAACTGAGGCATCCTTTTGTTGTCTTTCAATTAAACTTCAAAATGTTGGTCAAAGCTGCCATTATGTGAACAGTACTTCTTTTGTTTAAAGACAATTTAAAAATTCTCTACAAAATAAGACATACGGACACTGTATGTTTTTCCAGTCATGCAAAGAAGCTGATGTTGGGCAGCAAATTAGAATCTAACAGACTTTGTGCTCTGTACCTAAGGAGGTGTGAGGAGCGAAAACAAAACAGGAGAGTCAGCTGCCAGAACTTAAAGCTTTGTTGGCATCTCTCCAAAACCTTCTGCCTGTATCCAGTGGCTGTAATGAATAGCATATGCAGATCGATCGTTTGGGCAATGTTTATTAGCACTTCGGTCCTATCTGAAATTCAGCTAATTGCCAAATTACATTCATTTTTTAAATATATATTTTTTAACTGATATTTTTTGCTTAGCTGTCGCTCCAGGTACATGTTCAGATCACGCGTATAAATAGTTCAAATACATTATCAACACTGAAAGCTTAGCAAGTTGTCCACCAAGATCTCAAGTCCTGCAAAGTCTGATGATCCAGTTCTTTGGCAGCCTAAGCCAATTTAGCTGTCGGCTTCCCGGGTTTGCCCTGCTGCCTCTCTTGCCCTGTGTTCAGGCTGTGAGCATGTCTGACCTTACACTGAACCTGTTTGGAGCAGAAAGCTGGCAGGAAGCTATGCACTTCGCCTGAGATAGTTTCTCGATGATTTAGCGTGCTGAAATAGTTCAAAGGTGCTGCAAAGACACGAGTAGAAACACATGGCCGCCCTGAGGGGAACCAAATGGGGATGTAGCTGCCAGCATTTAGGTTAGCTCGGGATGCCCAGAATTCAAAGCTGGAGGTGGTAGGTAAGATAGAATTAGGAAAACATCAAGAAAAGCCTACTGCCCTCAGGTCAGTATTGATTAAATCTGAGGTCCACCAGCAGAAATCCGGAGATTCCCACATCTGCTGGAGAAAACTGAGAAGACAGTGGTGGTACCAGAGATGTCCTCTTAATTTCAGGGTAGGATCCGTGGGGGTGGATTGTATAGTTTGATGCTGAGCGTGATTTTCTCTACTTGGATAAAATACCTTTACTGAAAAAGAATTCCTACTCTTCTGGAAATTACTTCCTATTTTTTATGAATCTGGATATGTTTCCCTTGCATCTCTGTGGTGGTGACTGGCCGCTTTAAGACAATACTTGGTATTTTATTTTCTGGCATGTTTGGGATTAAAGCCAAACTAAAAACAAAAAATTGATGAGACAGTGCAGCTGCCCCAAAACCCTCTTTTTTCGTGTTTGTTGAAAGGTGAAGTAATTTTATTTCCCTCTTGCCTTAGAAATTATACCTGTTGTTGTCAGAAGAACTTACTGATGAAAAACTA